TACAAAGAGATTGACATTGAGATGTCTCTCTCTAGTGCTAGTCCAGCAGTTCACAAGGCATCATCCCACAGGTGCCCAACGGTCCCTCAGACCTTTTTTGGACTTCTGCAAGGTCAAAACTTCATAATCAGAGTAAGAGGTGGGGTGTTGCCATGTGTCACCATGTGAATATTTGCACTGCAGATGCAAAAGCAAGGATGGGTGAAACACATCTCAGTGGAAATCTGGACAGTGACACTGACCTGTGCCACTCGTTATTGAAATCTTCACCACCATGCACTTGCCATAAAAGAAAAAGTCTGCTGGGCGCGGTGACTCACGCCTTTAATCCCAGCACTTTGGGAAGCCAAGGTGGGCAGATCACCTGAAGTCAGGAGTTCAAGACAGTCTGGCCAACATGGTGAAAACCCATCTCTACTAAAAAATACAATATTAGCCAGGTGTGGTAGCAGGTGCCTGTAATCCCAGCTACCCGGGAGGCTGAGGCAGGGAGAATTGCTTGAACCTGGGAGGTGGAGGTTGCAGCGAGCTGAGATTGTGCCACTGCACTCCAGCCTGGGTGACAGAGTAAGACTCGCTGAGATTGTGCCACTGCACTCCAGCCTGGGTGACAGAGTAAGATTCTGTCCCCTCACCCCCCAATAAAAAGAAAAAGCCAGTTTCCCATAGGAATGTTCTTGGTGAAGCAGTGCCAATTGCTAATTTCATTAAATATCAACCCTCGAGTATATGTATTTTAATATGCATGACAAATGGGAAGTCTGCATAAAGCACTTGCATGGTGAAGTATGACAGCTGGCCCCAGGAAAAGCACTTGTGTGGTTTTCTAGTCAGCAGACCTAGCCACTATTTTCATGGAATACCATTTTTGCTTGAAAGTACAACTGACCAGCTGGCTATTTTGACTTGGATTTTTAAACGACATTTTCTTTCTTTTCTTCTTTATTTTTAAGATAGGGTCTCACTCTGTCGCCCAGGCTGGAGTGCAGTGGTCTGATCTTGGCTCACTGCAGCCTCAAACTCCCATGATCTAGTGATCCTCCCACCTCAGACTCTCTCATAGCTGGGACCACAAGTGCATGCCACCATGATTTTTTTGTGGAGACTAGGTCTCACTATTTTAACCAGGCTCGTCTCCAACTCATGGGCTCAAGTGATCTACCTCAGCCTCCCAAAGTGCTGGGATTACAGCTGTGAGCCACCACACCAGGCGAACAAATGTACTTTGTAAAATACTGTATAATAAAATGTGTCAATATTTGGAAGAGCTGCATAATCTAGTCCAATTTTTTTTGTTTTTTGAGGCACAGTCTTGCTCTGTCACCCAGGCTGGGGTGCAGTGGTGTAATCTCAGCTCACTGAAACTTCCACCTCCTGGGTTCAAGCGATTCTCCTGCCTCAGCCTCCCAAGTAGCCGATACCACAGGCATGCCCTACCACACCCAGCTAGTTTCTTTTTGTTTGTTTTTTTTTTTTTTTGAGAGGGAGTCTTGCTAACGTCACCAGGCTGGAGTGCAGCGGCACAATCTCAGCTCACTGCAACCTCTGCCTCCTGGGTTCCAGCAATTCTTCTGCCTCAGCCTCCAGAGTAGCTGGGACCACAGGCGCGTGCCACCATGCCCGGCTAATTTTTTTGTATTTTTAGTAGTTCAGTAGAGATGGGGTTTCTCCATGTTGTTAACGCCTGACCTCAGGTAATCCACCCACCTCAGCCTCCCAAAGTGCTGGGATTACAGGCTTGAGCCACCATGCCCAGTCCAGTCCAATTGTTTTTGAGATGCGAGTCTTACTATGTTGCCCAGGCTGGTCTCAAATCCTAGCCTCAAGTGATCCTCCCACCTCAGCCTCTAAAAGCATTGGTATTATAGACATGAGCCACCAAACCTGGCCAAGCCAATATTTTCCAAATGGCCAGGGCATGATGTAAAAAATCATGTTTGGGTAGAAGATCAAAGTGCAGACACCAGCAATAGATTTCGATATAACAGAGTACAAACAATTTATTGATATGGTTCAGATTATACATTGTAACTAACCTTTAAGAAAAAAACACTCAGCCAGGCATGGTGGCTCACATCTGTAATCCCAGCACTTTCGGAGGTCAGGGTGAGCAGATCATGAGGACACGTGTTTGAGACCAGCTTGGCCAACATGGTGAAACCCCTTCTCTATTAAAAATTTAAAAATTAGGCCGGGTGTGGTGGCTCTCACCTGTAATCCTAGCACTTTGGGAGGCCGAGGTGGGTGGATCACCTGAGGTCAGCAGTTCAAGACCAGCCTGGCCATCAGGGTGAAACCCCATCTTTAAAAAAAAAAAAAAAAAATTGGGCCGGGCGCGGTGGCTCAAGCCTGTAATCCCAGCATTTTGGGAGGCCGAGGCGGGTGGATCACAAGGTCAAGAGATCGAGACCATCCTGGTCAACACGGTGAAACCCCGTCTCTACTAAAAAACTACAAAAAATTAGCTGGGCATGGTGGCACGTGCCTGTAATCCCAGCTACTAAGGAGGCTGAGGCAGGAGAATTGCCTGAACCCGGGAGGCGGAGGTTGCAGTGAGCCGAGATCGCGCCATTGCACTCCAGCCTGGGTAACAAGAGTGAAAGTCCGTCTCAAAAAAAAAAAAAAAAATTAAAAATTAGCTGGGCGTGGTGGTGCATGCCTGTAATCCCAGCTACTCAGGAGGCTGAGGCGGGAGAATCACTTGACCCTGGGAGGCAGAAGTGGCAGTGAGCCAAGATCGCACCACTGCACTCCAGCCTGGGCAACAGAGTGAGACTGTCTCAAAAAAACAAAACAAAACAAAAACCACTTGTCAAATTTTGATCTGAATAAGCTTTTGAGTTAGTCCACCTCTTCCAACTACATATCTATGAGGCCAGATTTTCCTTAACCGAAACAGCATATTACAACAGACTGAATGTAAAATATATATGAGAATTCAGTTTTCTTCTATTAAGCCAGACACTAAAAAAATTTGTCAAAATATAAAACAGTCCGGGCGCAGTGGCTCGTGCCTGTAACCCCAGCACTCTGGGAGGCTGAAGTGGGTGGATCACGAGGTCAGGAGATCGAGACCATCATGGCCAACATGGTGAAACCCCGTCTCCACTAAAATACAAAAAATTACCCAGGCGTGGTGGCACATGCCCATAGTCCCAGCTACTCGGAAGGCTGAGGCAGGGGAATCACTTGAATCCAAGCAGCGGAGGTAGCAGTGAGCTGAGATCGAGCCAGTGTCCTCCAGCCTGAGTGACAGAGCGACACTCAGTCTAAAAAAGAAATAAAAGCTTAAGAAATGCTAGATTAATTAAGCAAATGACAAAAATGATTGAACACATAAAACTAGGGGAAACTATGAAAAGGTAGCGAAGGAAGTGATTGAAGAGATATGCAGTTGGAAATAAAGCCAGGCTGAGTGTGGTGGCTTGTGTCTGTAATCCCAGCACTTTGGGAGACTGAGGCAGGCAGATCTCTTGGAGCTCAGGAGTTTGAGACCAGCCTGGGCAATATAGAGAGACCCTGACCTGTTACCACAAAAAGTACAAAAACTTAACTGGGCATGCCTATAGTTTCAGCTGCTCCAGAGGCTGAGGTGGGAGGATCAACTGAGCCCAGGAGGTCAAGGCTGCAGTGCAGTGAGCTGTGATCGTGCCAGTGCACTCTGGCCTGGGTTGCAGAGTAAGACCCTGCCTCAAAAGAAAGAAAGAAAGGCCGGGCCCGGTGGCTCAAGCCTGTAATCCCAGCACTGTGGGAGGCCGAGGCGGGTGGATCACGAGGTCAAGAGATCGAGACCATCCTGGTCAGCATGGTGAAACCCCGTCTCTACTAAAAATACAAAAAATTAGCTGGGCATGGTGGCGCGTGCCTGTAATCCCAGCGACTCAGGAGGTTGAGGCAGGAGAATTGCCTGAACCCAGGAGGCGGAGGTTGCGGTGAGCCGAGATCGCACCATTGCACTCCAGCCTGGGTAACAAGAGCGAAACTCCGTCTCAAAAAAAAAAAAAAAGAAAGAAAGAAAGAGAGAAAAGAGAGAAAGACAAGAAAGAAGAAAAGGAAGGAAGGAAGGAAGGAAGGGAGGGAAGGAAGGAAAGAAAGGAACGAACCAAGTACCTAGCCTTGGCTAACATGGTGAGACCCTATCTCAACCAAAACAACAAAAGTTACCAGGATGTTTCTGGTGTCTGCCTCTGGTCCCAGCTACTCAGGACGCTGAGGCCAAAGGATTGCTTGTATTCAGGAAGTCAAGGCTGCAGTGAGCCGTGTTCATGCCTCTGTACTCCAACCTGGGAGTTGGACAGGACAGCAAGATCCTGTCTCAAAAAAAAAAAAAAAAAGGAAAAGAAAGAAAGGAAAAAGAAAACACAGTATCAATTTTAAGAGAAAATTTTAGATTATCTAATGATATGAAAATGAGTTTGTGGTCCAGGTGGGGTGGCTCACGCCTGGAATTCCAGCATTTTGGGAGGCCAGGTTGGAAGGATCGCTTGAGCCCGGAGTTCAAGACCAGCTTGGGCAACATAGTGAGACCTCATCTCTACTAAAAATTTTAAAAATTACCCAGGTGTAGCTGCATGCAGCCGTAGTCCCAGCTACTCAGGAGACTGAGGTAGAAGGATTGCTTGAATCCAGGAGTTTGAGGCTGTAGTATGCTGCACTCCAGCCTGAGTGACAGACCCTGTCTCTGAAAAAATCGATAAATAAATAAATAAGATATTCATTCCAATAAATTATTTTATATATACCTCATAATAAAGATGTTGAATATTTTTTTGTCTTTTTTTTTTT